TGTTTCCAGTATATGTATTTTGGGGAACACATTCAAATGCATGTCCTTCCAGCATACATTATTCCATTCCAATAGCCCCAAACTTAATGTACATCAGCATATAAATCTCAAGTTCAGAGTCTCATTTTAAATCACACCTGGGTGAGGCTAAAGGCACAATTCATCCCCAGGTGATACCTTTAAATGCAAATTATCTACTTCCAAAACATAATGGTGAGACCAGCAAGTTCAAAATTCTAAGTGAACATTAAATACTTGTTTTCTTTTTTGTTTTGTAATGCTGTGTTGTGAACCCAGGGCCTTGTGCTTGCTAGGCAAGCATTCTAACACTTGAGCCATTCCTCCAGCCTTTTTTGCTTTATTTTTCAGATAGGGTCTCACGATCTCCTACTGTAATCTTCCTACCTACACTTCCCTTGTAGCTAGGATCACAAGTGTGATCCTATTGATTGAGACTGGGAATCTCACTAACTTATTGCCAGGGCTGTCCATGAACCTCCATCTCCTCAATCTCTGCCTCCTGAATAGCTAGGTGTGAGCCATCATTAAAACCTAAAACTCCACAGTACTCTCTGAATGCATGTGGCATATCCTAGTCATGTGAGATAGATTGGACCCCAGAAGTGTCACACAGGTCTGCTTCTAAGATTTTGCTGAGCCCAGCTCACATGCAGCTCTCCCAAGCTATTACAGTTCTAGGGAACTCTAAGATGGTCTCAATGCCATGGCTACAGTAGACAATGCTTTAGTTGAGGGCTCCTTGTGGCAGTTTTGCCCCTCTAATTATTCTCTTCCTGGTCCCCTAGGATCCCAAGCACATCTTTGAAATCTAGGTGGAGACCATTATGGCCCCACATTCTACAAGTCTGTAGAGTCAACCCTAGGTGAACACCTCCATTACTTACCACTTGTGCCATACAGGGCTAGAACTATGGCAAGAGCCACATCTAGGCCTACTTAAGTAATGCCTGTGGTGGCCCAGGAGCACTGCATCAGAAAGTGGAAGCCAGAGTCCCAAGGGTGGCTCTGAGCAGCAAATGCTGAGATTCTGAAGGCGTATTTCAGAAGAACGTCTCATCAGTCCTAGATTACCTTCAAGATCTCTGAATAGTTGGCCACCGGTGGCTCACGCCTGTAATCCTAGCTACTCAGGAGGCTGAGATCTGAGGATCATTGTTCAAAGCCAGTCCAGGCAGGAAAGTCCGTGAGACTCTTATCTCCAATAAACCACTAGAAAACCGGAAGTGGCGCTATGGCTCTAGTGGTAGAGTGCTCGCCTTGAGCTGAAGAGCTGAGGGAAGTGCCCAAGCCCAGAGTTCAAGCCCCACAACAGACCAAAACAAAAAAATGCCTCTAGGGTCATTCTGCCAATGTCTACAAGAACACATGAAAACCTAGGTATCTTCTATTCATATTAATCTCTATGGTCCAGGCTGGCCTTGAACTCTTGAACTTCCTGTCTCAGCTCTTAAATTCTGGGATTACAGCTATGTACCAATATGTCTGATTATACCAGCATATTGAACAAAACCACTTAAGCAACCTGTAAGACGTTCTACATTTTCCATATAGTATTTTTCTTCTGGGCCATTCACCAGAATTGCTTTTCACACTCCTTCCAATCACAACAATCATAGGCTTTTTCTAACCTGCTCATCCAAATTCTTCTAGTTTCTCCAAATTCTTACCTATTTCCTGTGTTAGTCTGTTTTGTGCTGCCATCACAGAATTATCAGAAACAGGGAAACATAAAGATCAGAGATTTATTAATGCAGTTATACAGGACAAGGAGTCTAAGACTGAAGGGGTCACATGTGTTCAGGGCCCTCTCTCTGAGTCATAAGATGGTGGAAGGTATCACATGGCCGTGGGGAAAGAGATTAAACTCACAGCCTTAAGTTTCTTTTGTTTGCTGATTTTTTTTTCTTCAGTACTGGGGTTTTGAAGTCAGGGTTTTGATCAAGGGCTCATGCTTTATGTACTTGAGCTTTTTACATAGTCTTATGCTTTTGCCCCAGCCCGCTTCTGACACATCCTCCTCCTACCTTTGCCTCCCATGTAGCTGACATTACAGGGGTATACCACCATGCCTGGCCCTTCCTTGAAGCTCTTTTATGGTAGTCATTAATCCGTTCATGAGGACGTATCCCTTCTGACTTTATGTCCCACCTTCCAATACTTTGTATTGTGGATTAAATTTCCAATATATACTTTGAGAATATTCAAACCACAGCAACTAATTTCAGCAGTCAATTTGATTTTAAAAATGACCACTTTTTGATATAAGGATAGCAGGTCCCTTTAGTCTCAATGTCTTATGGTGTTTAAATAGTGAAGAGGAAATAAACTTTAAAAATACCTAAATAGAAGAGAAAAATCTCCAAATGCAGGAAATCATATATTCTGTAGAAAAACAAGGATTTCTCCCCAGAACACTCCATGCCACATGCTAATTTCTTTTCAAAAGCCAAGACTTATTGGCAAATAATCTGGAAGCCTAGTAGAAGAGAAATCTTTTGATTCAAGATTCAGAGCTGCTCTATAGAAAAGGAAGTGTGGGAAGGCTTGTTATCATTTATTTCCTCCAGTATATCATTCAATTTCAGCTGTCTCACATCTTCGGAGTAGCTCCCCCATTTCTCACTTATGTGCCTAAGAAACCTCTCCCTGGCATCTCATTCTCTCTCTGTGTCTTTCACCAGCATTTCATTATTTCTTAACTGTCCCTCTCCTGCTTGTCTCCCTTTCTCCTAGTGCTCCACGTGTCCTCATTTAGCCATTTTCAGAAGCCAGGGAGAAACGTTGCAAATAATGTTAAATATGATTAATATCTTGAATTCCTTGAAATATGACATGCATGAGTTACAATGAAACCTCTTTTATTTCCCCATGAAATGCTTTTGCATAATGAGAAAGAAAATGTCCTCTATGCCCTAATCAGCCCTGGCAGTTCCTGGACTCCCAAATACTTTTTATTTATGGCATTATTTATTTCATCTTTAATAAAGGGAGGGGGTGTGTAGCACCCTCTGAGGAGCCTGCAGCAGAGAGGGAGACAGTCTGGGGTGGAGGAACACAGAAGCTGAACCAGCAAAGAACAGAGAGAAGTCATCCAAAGGAAGGGAGACTTCCTGTGAAATGTGAGGCCAAAGCCTCAGACCCCAGAAGAATAATGGGTCACTTTCCCAACACTAAAAGGAAAGCTCAGCAGAGGAAACTTCAGAGAAATCACTGTTTTACAATGAAGGAGCACCCATGACTGTAATCTGTATTACAAGAATGAAGGCTGGAAACTAAACCTTGGAGCAGGAATTGCAGGTATTGGTGTTGGCCCAGTGGAAGGTTACTTTGAGATAGGGAGGCATGGACTCTACTGTAGAGGGGCTGAGAGAAGCGAGGACCTTCTTCTGTATTTCAAGATATTTGTGCCACCTGAGGCCAGGGTGGGGGCTCCTCCAAACCATTGAGATCTTATTCTTACAACCACTGAAATTGGGTGCTCTCCAAGACACCGTGACCTGCTGCTGTCACCAGCTTCAGTGACTATGGGTAACTCAGAGTTAAAGAGTTTTTAGGCCACCTTGGCACTCCCAGAGTACACGTATATGTATATTAAACAATGTTGTGGTAAGAACTCACTTTCCCAATGCCAGTGGTCGGTCGTTTATTTTTATGTTAATATTCCCTTCCATTGTATAGTCTACTTACTATAAGCAGTAAGGATTTGGGTCAGGCTTGGTAGTGTGTGCTTGTAATCCCAGCCTTAAGGAGGCCGACGAGGCTGAGGCAGGACAAGCTGGAAACCAGTGTGGGCTACAAGGCAGGGCAGTCCGCTGGCTGGTGCGATGGAAGCCAGTGTGGGCTACAGGAAAAGCTGCAGTCTCAAAAGGCACCCCTCCCCTCTGCCCAGAAATAAATAATAACAACAACAACAACAATAATAATGACAACAATGGTCTAATAATAATAATGTTCTGCACCGCCTGTGTGGCTGAACCACGCTCTCCTCCGCGTCTGACATGGGCCTGCACGTCAGGGAAATGGGTACAAATGCAGGTTCTCTCCGGGGCTCCGTCTGGGGAACGAAGGAATCAATGTGTAAAGACGGTGTCCTGTGCGTGCCCCTGAGATCTGCTTACGCACGGGCCCGGGCCGGGGTCGGAGGGCACGGGGCGCCCCCCCGCCCCGCCCCGGACGTGGACCAAGTTCTCTGACATTCTCTTCCGAATGTTGGGGAGCACTTTTCCTTCTGGAAGAACTCCCCGCACCTTCCACCCGGGCGCTCGCGCGACCCCGCCCTAATTGCCAGGACCCACCCCCACCCCCCACCCCTGCGTGCAACTCCCGGAGTGAGAGGTCACGCCGGGGGGGGGGGCGCCTCCCGCTCATTTCCGTAGCTCGAACCCCGCCGGCGGCCGCAGACGCCTGGAGTCTACCTCTGGGTCTCCCAAGTCTCGCCCTCACCGGGACCCGGGTCCCCAGCTCTTTTCACCTGTTTACCAGGACGCCCTCCAGGTCTCGTCCCCCCCTCCCCGCCCCCAGACGTCCCTTTTTCCCTCCAGCCCTCCCCCTCTCCCCTCCACCCCGGCCGTGGCTCGGGGC